TTATCTTCGGATCTGACTGTATACCGCCGAATACGTACCTTGTTTACTTGATCCTAGATCGACTTGGGTAATCATGTCTAGATCAGGCGTAATTATACCCAGATCAGGCACCTAGAAATAGATCCTCCGAGATTGATCCAGTCACCTCAGAATCAGTTGATCTGAGTTCATCAGACCTTCTCAGATCTGGATTCACAGTAGTCACATCAGATCCAGGCATACCTGTCACTACACTTGATCCGATCACCTCCTGTCCATAATTTTCACTTTACCACAATCGCCTCCTTCTGTAGTCGTTGCTGCCAAACCGGATCACAGCATACACCTCTTCTTATCCGTTACTCGTCGCAGGTCTCCACGTCACTAATGTCCAAGATAATATAACCCCGGATCCACACTCGGTCTTCATATTCGTCCACCCCCATATCAACCTCTGAATCAAACCCTTTCCACATATATCCTCAATCGGCACATCGTCATATACAATGTTGTGTAAACCCTGTCCTCTGATCTGCAACCTTCTTGCAGATCCATCAACCTTCAGCCACACTAATGACCCGCTCACCGGTGTGGATTCAGATCTCTAGACTCTTCATGAGATTGCATCACACCAACCCGGTTGCGATTAGTGCGACCTTGCAGGAACTCATAACGAAGAGCGCCGCAATTGAGATCTGCTTCATCCAACAATTGAGATCTGCTTCATCCACCCAAGTCGATTCTTCATATCCGCGCCAATGTACCAAAATTCCTCGATAGATCCGTCCATATCTGGTCTTCTTGCCAGTCCTCATATCAGAAATTCGATCCATTTCGTATTCATCTGGACCCCGATCCTGGATCCAACTATCTTCCGGGAGGAGAGCTTCATCGAAATCCACCCGATCTATATCCGGCTCCTCTAGGCGAGCTACTGATCGATCTCGAAATATCTTGACCAGTTTGATCTTCGAGACATGTACTACGGGGAAGATGCTATACGCTGACCCTCACTGCATATTCCCCGATCTTCTCAGCGACGCGAAACGGCCCATGCCATAGGTGCGCCAGTTTCTTCGCATATCCTTCGCGTACTCGATCTAAGTACTGCACTCGATCTAAGTACAACCAGACTTTTGATCCAGCCTCCACAAGGTGTGGATGTACCAGATCATTATGGGTGTCGGCTCGATCCGCGATTGCTTCGCGTAAACGCTGATTCACTTGTTCTCGAGCTTGTCTGTAGTACTTTTGCATCCGATATCTCCACCTTCTCAGATCTCGATCGTGCCTGCGAGTACTCCCCACCGGGATCATCGCCTTCAGAGTAGATCTAGGATCCCAACCATGTATCATGTAGAAAGGGGTTTCACCTTGAATCCGATCCCTTGCGGTGTTGATAGCGAAGGTGAGTCGTTCAGCGTGTTCATCCCAATCACGTTGATCCAGATCCTGCACATACATCTTAAGGGCCCTGGTCACCGTCTGGACCATACATTCTGCGCCTGCGGATCCATTAGCCTGAGTTCGATAAGCCATAGTAGTGCGTTGCCGTTGACCCAAGATCTTGTTGAAGGACTTGAAAAAGTCAGACATAAAACCTGGCTCCCGATCATGCCGGATCACCTCGCTCGCACCAAATCTGCGGAAGACGCATTCCTCATAGGTCTCAGCGATCGTTTGAGCGGATCTAGAGGCGCTGGCTTTGGCGATCACATATCCCGAGAATAGATCCACGAAGATCAACAGTTCGGTGTTGCCATTGAAGGATTTAGGCAGCGAAGGTATGTGATCCATGGCAATGATCTGGAATGGGCATGTTGCCTGAAGGTTACCAGGTGACTCACCCTGGATCCGAGGTCGTCCTTTGACTGTTTCACAATCAACATATTCTCCCACATAACGCTGTACGCTCTTATACAGCCCTCTCCAGTGGAAGCGATCGCGGATCCGATCATAGGTCCGACCAATTCCTTGATGGCCACCCTGCAGGCTCGTGTGATAGTGGTGCAAAATGTCCTGTTGAAGCGCCTCAGGTATTACCAATCGCATCAACTTGTCTCGATCCGCAGCTGCCTCCTTAGTTGTCGGGCAGTAGAAGGGTAGATCCGACTGATCCACTTCGTAATTCATGGCAATCGATCCAAACACCCTAGCATCCTCTTGTGTCAGATCCCGGATCTCTCCAACCAAATATTTCTTCAGACCCAAGATCCACGACTCTTCATCTTGTGCTTGCCGGATCCGCCAGTTCTCTCACAACTTCCTCCCGTAGTGAGTCTGGATCAGATCCAATACGCACTCCAGATCTAGCCTTAGATCGGGTCGTTACGGCAGATATCTGCGCGATCTCGTCTTCGATCTTCACTATCAGGATCTCATCCAACCGGTTCAAGGTTACTAGATCCTGGATCTCCTTTTCAGACTCGACCTGGATCCCACATTGTCGCTGCAGAGCGGCGCTTGCTAAGCTGTCCGCACTCCCGTTCCAATCTCGTTTAACATGTAACAGCTCGGGATCTGGCCAAGTACGTAGTCGATCCAGAGCCTGCTGGCGCAGCAGTGTCAAACCCGGTGCCTTACAATCGATCACACCTCGTACTTGTCGGATCACCAGGTTCGTGTCCCCACGTATCACTAGACGTCGTGGATCCAGATCTTCCAACATATCCAAACACAACAACAGTCCATGATATTCGGCTTCGTTCACTGTTAGCCCTTCAGCGTAGCCAGATGTGGCCTTTAGCACTCTCCATTCAGGCAATTTCCACAGGATCGCGCTGTAGGCGCCTCCACCTCTCTTGACACGGGCGGATCAATCATAACTGACGACGTAAATTTTTTCGTCGCGTCTAATAGTGGGGATCGGAGCCTGAATCTTGCGCCGTGGCTCCTTCTTAGGGGCAATCGAGATCAGCGCCTTATCCACCTGTGATCTAGGCGTAATTCTCGCCGCCAATGCTCCCAGGCTCTCATCTTCCTCTTTAATCTCATCTTTCCCTTTGACGCACTTGATAATCTCGAGAGTCCATGGCGACAGTGGAGCAGCCCACTGATCTAAACGTCCCTGCAAGGCTTTGGATATGAAGGGCCACGCCAAAGTAGAGTGTCGGGTCAACACATGGATCGGACGCCCGACCAGTGCATTGTAGTTAAGATCCAGGATTCTTAGGAGGGCTAATACCTCCTTCTCCGCGATGCCGTAATTCAGCTCATTCGACTTGTTGGATCCGTACTAGGGTGGCCTCCAGTCCACTGTGGGAGACCTTATGGCCCAGATATTCCACCTTAGGCATCCCCCAGAAGCTCTTAACCACGCTGATCGACAGATTTCACTTATCACACGCTTCGAGTAAACCTTCGACTCGGTCACATAGTTGATCCCAGTTATTGGCTGGAATCAGAATGTCGTCGATATATGATCTACGCCCAAGCACCGATGGCTTGCCTGGATCCACCGGTTCCCCGTCCTCAAACACATCCAAAGTACTTCCGTGATCTTCAGACTTCGGGATCCGGGTGAACCCATATAGCACGTTGTCGATCATACGTTGATAGATCTGGGGCGCATTCTTCAAGCCAAAAGACATTCGATTCCACTCAAATAACCCAAAAGGAGTGATAAAAGCCGAGATCAAACGAGCACGATCCGTCATTTTCACTACCCAAAATCCACTCGCCATATCCAAAGAACAGTACCAAAGTGTCGACTCCAGATCTTCAAGTAAGTCGTTGATCAAGGGCATTGGGTAGATCATCAGTTGAGTTAGGCTGTTAACCAACCGATAATCAATGCACAACCTGATATCCACTCCGTTCTTCTTGATGATCACCACGATCGGGGAGGCCCATGGTGACTTAGAGTAATTGACCATCTTGGCAGACAACAGACCCTTGATCAAGTCCGGCAGCTTCCTGAACTGGATTCGCAACTTACGACACTTCAGGGCGATAGGCCTTGCTCCTCCGACATCGATGTCGCATACAACACCTCTGGCCGCCGGCGGGAGGGCATTTCCTTTGCCGATCAAGAGGTGTCGGAACTTCCAGATCCTTTGGCGAAGTCGATCAATTTCTTCTGGGGTCTGATCATCAGATCCACATAGCTGGATGTCCTCGATCTTCACATCTTCCGTTGTCACGGGCACTTCTGGCAGTACCGCAATCTGACCGTCGACATCTTCCGCGTACAGATCACTTCCTTCGTGGTAGTATACACATTCATCATAATCTTGATCTGAGCTCCAGGTGAGATCCAGATCCGACGCGTCTGGTTGATCTTCAATAGCAGGTGGTGGACCATGTCCGTTTTTTGCGACATAGAAGCGACGCACTTGCCGTTCAACGGATCACTGACCACATGTACCGTCCCAGATTGTACACTCATCATTGATGACGGATCTGATCCACCGTATTTCGCCGGTGATGTTAACCCTGACACCTCAATGTAGTTGATCCTGGTTGGCGACCCCAATTCCATCCCGATCTTCTTCTTCTCGAGCCTCCACTGCACTTGTAGTCTCTTCCAACGGCGGATCCGTCGTCCAGACGTCTGGCGATATCTGATCGGGATCTTCCAGCGCCTCCTTGACCGTTACAAGATGCGATACAGAATCTCTGTCTGCAATAGGCGACAGATCTGACCCCTCACTTGTGACAGACGCTGGATCCAACGGTCGGATCTCCGACGGCGACTTGTCCGACGGGGACTTGTTGGGTAGTCAGGAATATCTTGATCCTGACTCGCCTCGACACTCTGAGACTGGATCGACGTCGTCGTTGGTCTCTGGAGTATTGCACGTGGAGTTTTGTACTCGGATCGCTCCACCGCGGGTTTAAGCGGGATCTTGATCGCCATGTCTTCGAATCGAGCGTCTGTCGTGGTTCTAATGCTAGATTGTGCCACTCCATATAACGACGAGAGCCGATCGAGATGAAACCTGGTGTTCCTGGCACATGATCTCCGGCCAGCCAGATCCCGATCCGTTGGTCTTGATGCAGGATCAACACCTCATCCCCGATGTTGGTGATCGAGATATACTTCGTCCTCCCCGGTCCATCGGATATTGTCGGCACCCATTGATCCCCACGCGTGACCCACAGCTTGTCGTGGATCGACGACCTCAGGCGCAATGGCAGTTCCACCGACTCTCCTGCGTGGATCCGAAGGTATTGACCGACGTTTATGATCTTCGCCTTGTCGCTATAAAGCTGCCGCCTCCCGCTAATCTGTATCCGGACTTCATCCGGCAGACTGATCGATCCATGAGCTAGATCCAGGCGGATCCCGGCTGGAACCATGAAATCCATAACAAGTATAGCTTGTTGGCCAGTCAGATCACCCACCCAGATATCGAAGAAATATACAGGTGATCCAGCGAGAGTTACCTTGATCCGCGTTCTTCCTTCCGTCCGGTACACATTGTCACCAATTCCTACACAGTCCTGGATCTGATTCGAGTCGGTATAGCACCCAACCTTACGAGCAAAGGTGGTGTCCACGATGGACACCTCGGCGCCGGTATCTAAGAGTAAGATCGCCTTCTCATTGTGGATATTGCCTGTGATCTTCTCATTTGCCTGGCGAATGATGCTTCCAGTAACCACGAGATTCTCCTGGTAGTAGATCCGTGGTCATTGATCGTCGGTACTCCGAGATCTTGCTAGGACTCTGGATCTCCGGAGTAACCTCATTGATCTGTGGGTTTAAACCATAGATCTGGATCTTGCTGGCTCCAATAACCTCGTGACCCTCCTGGTTGGAGATCCACACTGATGGTGACTTCGGATCTGGCATACTTGTCGACTTGGCGAAGACTTGAAATTGCGAAGGTGTGTTTTCCATGCAGATCACATGTATTACCGTGTAGATCCAGTCGTTTACTAGCCTGATCTACCGATGGCTTGTTCACAAATGCATAGATACAGTATCTAGAACGCTCGGATCATATCGGATTCCACCCCGACGAGCGTCCTAGTTTAACATCTTCTCAGCAGCTTCGGGTAACATACCCGTATGCTTCGTACTGACGGATCTGGTTATACAACTCTTCCATTGGACGTTTTCCCATGTCATGCAGTTCTCCACATCCACGACACACGAAGAGGCAGGGATCCAAGGGATGTCCTCTCTTGCCGCACTTCGTGCATGTAACACGCCTCCAACAACCAAGATCCGAGTGCTTCTTGGATCCACAGTGCGAGCATCGATCACGGTTAAAACCATTACCGTGGATCTTCGAGTTGCGATCTTGATGGCCCTGATCACGGTCCAGAAGTCGTGGATCCCGGTTCCTCGACTCCTTTTCCACCTTCGGGGTAACATCTTCGTTCGCTGCAAGGAAGATCCTGCGATGACTGTCGATGTCAGAGTCGGATCCACCCGATCCGTCAGATTCGCTGTCGGATCCAGAGTCGTTAGCTTGTATCTGGATTGCACGCACTTGTTTTGCTGGAGCTGAGGGGGTCATGTTCACGTCGATCTTTCGCGCCGCCATCCTTGATCTTCAGCCGCACACGGAGTCCCGCCACGTTGAGCCGATACAGGTAGTCCAGTGGTGATTCGTCAAATCTGCGTCGCGTATGGTAGTATTGTCTTGCTACCGATACTCCAAGCCCACAGTACTGGATCTGGAAACTGGGAAGCAGATCGCTCTATTTGTTGCGTGTGGATCTGCTCAGCTGGCGATACCAGTTCTTGGCGGATCCAGCGAGAAAATCTACAAAGGTCAGACACTTTTCGTCATCTGATGCTTGATCTCGCATGAACGCAGATTTCACTTTGCCGATCCACGCTCGCTCGCGATCCTCGTCTTGACCCTTGCCAGTAAGCTCCTTAAGATCCGAGATCGCCGAGATCCGAACTCGTTGGATCATGGTGGATGCAGTGGATCCGGATGCGGTAGTAGCTACAGTCGCTTGGGCGGTTGCCGGGAAGTCGATGTCGTCCGGATCGTATTCCCAATTGGATCCGCGATCCGATGATCGGATCGACTCCATCTCAACGCCCTTGATCCGGTATTCTGAGGTTCTGTAACGACTGGATCCGCATCTGCTGCTTGTTGATCAGCCAGGAACCGATCCATCGCGGCGTTAAAGAACTTCTGCAGCGTTCCAGCTGAGCGATCCGAGCTCGAACTGATTGTGGCTTGATCAGTCCGCGTTGATCCCTTAGGCTGACTGTCAGATCTGGTTGGGCCTGGACGCCTGATCTTGGATCTCGCCTCCAGTATTGCCGCGCCTGAAGGTCCCAGCGACATACGCCGGGGCTCTGACGAGGTGTCGGATCCGTCTTCAGCCGCAGATGCGTAGTGTGATGACACCGTCTGGTTGTCCACTGCGCCGATCTGGGGTGGTGATACTGGATCCGCTATCTGGGGAACTTTGCTAACCAAGATCTTCAGCTTTCCAAAGAGAGCTCGGCTTGTGGCTTGTATCACGGTCAGATCCAGATCGAACAGATCTTCCGTCTCGGGGTCATGCCTGCTTCCTTCAGCAGCTTGATCAGGACAGTTACTGCATCGAGCTTGTTGGTCACCATCGCTGGGGTAGTTACTGGATCCTTTGGCTTCGCGATCCACTTCAGCTTCAGGATTTTCATCACCGGACCCTGACACACGAAGTCGCGTAGCTCTTTCCGGTGGTACAAGTGCTTAAGATCTTCGACGGACCATCCGGATCCGTCTTGATCTCCATCATCCTCATACTCAGGGGCCTTCATCTTCGACCGCAAAGTGTTGGATCTTGGCTTTCCGACTTCGGATCCAGAGATTTGCGGCTCTTTGGGCATACTTGTATATAGTATCGGCTTATCCGGATCAATAAATGAATACGGTTCAGCCTTCACCTTTGTTTGTTTTGTTAGCGGAACTTGGCGCAAGTCAGGGTCCGCAGGAGCCTCCATGTCGGAGACTTGTGGAGAATGAAGTTTCTCTTTGAGATCTGGATCGGGATCCAAATCGGCTTCCCTTCCGTCGACAGAGTTCCTCCTGGCACTCTACCGATCCGTAGATCTAGCTTTCAGCGATGTCGTCGTCGATCTGGCATATGACGACATCTCGTTCCCTTGTTCAGTCTTCACTTGAACTTTTTCTTGAGACTCACGGTGAAATCCCGAGTCACCAGAAAATCGGGGCACGCGCACCATTGTGGTGGAGCGGGATCAGCAAAATCTGTGAAGATGCTGGATCCGGCTTGCCACTGTGCCCAGGACATCGACTATAGGAGGGGGTACTCCTATGATCCGTGATCAGCTGAACTTCCTCACCTATCGGTAGGGCTGGATCTTGCTCCTTCG